TAATTATGGTTGTCCTTTCTCTTATTTGTATTTTTACATTTCAAATTCTTAATTTTTTAAGCTATTGGGTTATCTTATTTCATGGAACGTATATATATCAACTCACTATGCTGTTTGTAGCCATCAAGACCTGTATCAGCCCTTTGGTCTATTTCTTCGTTGGAAATCGGCAAAAAGAGAAAGACACAGAACCCATGTATAAGTTGCTTGAGAGAGCTTTGAGCGAGAAAGAAAGCACAGACACGGCAAACACCAGTTAGCTACAGCTGGTCACAAAGGAATTTGGACTTCCGAAATGAAAAGAATATATAAAAACATATCTATGGAACTTTTTCTTCCCCAAAAATGCATATTACAGATACATTTACCGTTTGCTATTTCTAACTTATTTACTACCTAAGGCCTTTAGGGGAATCAGCTGATACTTTTTTAAAAATTGAATTTTAAGATTTTATATTTGTAAGAGGAACTCTATTAGGGGGCAAAAGCCTTCAAAAAGCATGATCAAAAAGTACACATAAAAATAAAAACTACATATAACATGGACTATTCATATTGTTTTGCTGGGGAAAAAAACAAGCACTCTTTACCTGAACCATTTCATCATGTGTGGCCTCTGAAGCTGGATTAATTTCTCCTACGAATAGGAAATGGCTATACAAATAAGTGTGTGTTTTCTATATCTATGGTACAAGAAAAAGAATGACAAAGAGAACACAAAGAAGATTCTACCTCTATCAGGTCTTTCTGAAAACATAGAAAGACTAAGAATACTACTGTGCATGGTAATGCCAGGGAATGGAACAGAAGAGAAGAGAGGAGAATCCTTATTCAATAAATTCAGTTTCTTCATTAATTCAGTTAAGAATTATTTATTGAGTACACTAAAACACACTTGAATCTGCAACACTTTAATGCTCTTTGTTCTGTCTATTACACCATCAATACACCATCTGATAAAAGTCATTGCTCCTCAAGAGTGGATTGAGATAAAACAGCATATACTCTTGTAGTATAGGAAATGTTTTATGAATACAGAATTCCTTAGACAATTTCACAACACGGGGACCACACATCAAAAAGCACTTAAAAGCACTTATATTTTAGATGGATGGACTTGCAGTAAATATTTAAGGCTCTATTGCATGTTATAATGAATAGTGGGGGGAAATTATAGTACAGTTCAGTGATGGGATTCCGATCCTGTGGGCGTGGCCTGGGTGAACATGGCATGGCTTGGAGGGCCTGGCTTGATGGGAGTGGCAGGGGAAGGATACTGTAAAATTTCCATTCCCTCCTGATCACCTGGGACTTGGGAGGTGAGAATAGATGGGGACGGGGCTAGTCGGAGGTCAAGGATGGGTTCCCGCTGCCACTACTGCCAGTTTCCTCAGGGATGCGCTGCAGGCATGCGTGCTTCATGTGCGCAATGCGCACTTGATGCATGCAATGCATGGATGCACAGTACTATAAAAATGCTGCTGCGCATGCACAGGAAAAAAAAGATAGTGCCTATGGTGCCACTGATAGAACTGGTTCATGGGCATGCCCAACCGAGTTATATCTACTCGGCCAAACTGATCCAACTGGTAGGAACCCACTTCTGTCAGAGGTGGCATTTACCGGTTCTCTGTACTACTCAAAATTTCTGCTATTGGTTCTCCAGAACTGGTTAGAACCTGCTGAATACCATCTCTGGTACAGCTGTGCCTGGCAGGGATTAGGGTAACTGAAGCTTTAAATGATAAAACAATGATCTTTATACAGGATGGTAATAAACTAGAAGTTTGTCAAGGTGATCCCATAGAATAGGGGCCCCCAACCCCTGGTCCATGGAACAGCCCAGGTCCATGGCATGCTGGCAACCAGGCTACACAAACAAGTGAAGCCCCATTGTGGTATACAGGCAGCATACAAAACTCTGGCCCCTCTCTCTGCAGAAAAATCTTCATCCATGCAACCGATGCCTGTTGCTGAAAAGGTTGGGAACCGCTGCCATAGAATCTCCTTTATGAAATATGTGACCTAAAATTTTAATTCTAAAATGTTGTAAATTGAGCTATTGTCTGCCTACTCAGACAAACAAGACAAGAAATAACTAGATCATCTAAATCTGCTTTTATTGTAAAGCAGTGTTTCTCATCCTTGGCGACTTTAAGTCCTGTGGACTTCAATTCCCAGAATCCCCCAGCTGGCTGGGCGACTGTACAGGCTACATTAACAGAATCTTGCAAGTCTGAAGGTACAAAATTACCCCTGCCACTTTTAACCCCCTGATCAATTAGGCCCGGTCTTATTTGCTTCTTCCTCTGACCATTAATCCATTGGGGTTCACCCTCTCTTGTTAGATCATTTCCTATGCAACATTTCTTTACCTCATCTTCAATGATAGCCACATATACAATTACAACTATCAATGTCAAGTTCAAACTTATTACTTAGGCCTATGTGCGGGAATCTCCTCCAACTGATTGTTTGCATCTGGGTAAGTCTAGATAAGTTGGACTTCACCCTCTTGTGCCCGTGCAAGGACTCTAGATCAGGGATCCCCAAGCCCCAGCCCACTATCGGGCCTTGAGAAGTTAGGAACCAGGCTGTGGAAATGGCGGACGAATGCGCACATCCCCACTTGTGCAAGTAGCAGGTGAGCAAGTGTGTGTGTGCTTCCTTTACACTAGGGAGTGTGCATGCCCCCAACTTGCTAAAACAAGACTGCACGCACACATGCTCTTGCCCACTGCTCGCATGGAACCATCACATGCCACAGTAGCTCAATGGTTAGAATGCAGTACTGCAAGCTACTTCTGCTTCCTGCCGGCTGCAAACTGGCAGTTCAAATCTCACCAGGCTCAAAGTTGACTCAGCCTTCCATCCTTTTGAGGTTGGTAAAATGAGGACCCAGATTGTTGGTGGCAATATGCTGACTCTGTAAACTGCTTAGAGTGGGCTATAAAGCACTGTGAAGTGGTATATAAGTCTAAGTGCTATTGCTTTCACACATACACCCCTGATGGTCCACACAACCAGAGGTGTTGGGGAACTCTGTTCTAGACTATAATTATCTGCTTGATTCCTCCCTTGGGTTTGCCATTTTGTCTCCAGCCATCAATGCTTTTCAATCTGATAAGGGGGCAAGTAAGAACTGTGGTTGTAATTCTAATTGCCCAGGTTTTAATTCTAATTGCCCAGTAGACTGGGATAGGAGAGGACTTAGCTTGTTGGTTTTTAAATGAGTCTGAGATGGCTACTAAAGTAGAGTTAGAGAACTTGTATTCTGTTCTGTAATCTGAGGGGTGTGGGAATAAGTGCAGAGACCTGCTCCCACAGGATGTCCCATAGTGTACATGAAACAATGAAAGCGCATGGGAAAAAATACAGCTGAGAAGATCTGTCCGGAGTAAAAAAAAACAAAAAAACTCAGCTTTGATGTTGAACCTTCTTCTCCGTTCACAGCCCCCCCCAAAAAAGCTGTGAACTACAAAGAGGATTCTAACGACTGAGTTCCTCCCTGCTTCTTTCTTGCCTGAAA